GGTTTCGTTTTCACGACATGAGCTCATGTTCGATCCATTATTTTAGCGTTACTCTGATTGTGTCTTTATCGTTGTGCCAAGAATTTTTGATGCCAAGAATTGCCAAGTGATGCCAAGAATTTTTATTGCACCTCCTTCGACTTTGTATTGTTTCGGTATTGCTTTATTGAAGTTTTGGTCATTAGAGAGAAATTCGCGAATATTCATCGCCGCCTTCTTAAAGATATCCTTCACTTTGTGATATTTATTTATAGCTTCCCTTGTTCCCTTTGCTGACATGACGTTATCTACCTGTAAATTCCTCCTATTCTCTAGTGCTATCTGGCTTCCGATCGTTTCTAGATGGTAATTGAGTGTTGCTGCTAGCAAAAACGGTGATGATATTACTCCAAAACATTGATAACATTTTAGGTTTTCCTCGGTAACCGCACATTTAATATCATTTACCCAGAAAAATATGGTACAGTTCCTATCGGACTGATGCAGTTCTAACTGTAAAAATGCCTTCTCGACGTCGGCTATGATTACATTCATCATTCGAAAGCACAATAGTATTCCTACTAAATCTGGAAGTATGACAGGTCCACGATATAGGACTCCGTTTAAACTTTTTGTTCCCTTGACATGCGCCGAAAATCATAGACTATCCTGAGTTTTGTTATAGGTTTGTGCGGAGATATTACCTCGTGATGAGGTAGATAATGAATTATATCCTCTTGATCCATATCAGGATGAACTTCCTCAATTATGCCTGACTGCAGTTGATCCTTAATCGTTTCGTTGTACTGTCGAAGTATCTCTTCATTGTTCTGAAGTCTTCTGATCAAGGTTTTAAGACGTCCGAAGCATAGTCCATAATAGCTTCATAGTTTGTCTTTTGAGTCTTTCCAAGGCCAGCAGACTTGGTATTTCCTGTCTTATTTCGCTATACTTTTCTTAAATTGCTCAAGGGCTTGTTCATTATCGTTTTCGTTCGGCTAGTCCTGGATCCCATCAGTTTTAACTTCCAGAACTGGTCAATGTCATCGTGGCTCGTTACGCTAGCCATGCATAATACGGCTGAGGTTATTGATGTAGCACTTACTTTGCGAATATTATTTATATAACCATTTCCGGCTAGTATTGGTCCCAGTTTTGTCCTGAGTAACAGGAATCCTGGTTCCAATTCTTGTGCTCCATCTAGTTTAATGAATTTGAAGAAGTCTTTAACGCCAATAAGTATTTCGGGCTGCTTCCAGTAACTGTCTATTCCTTCTAAGTTTTTTCTTTCCATTACAGAACTGATATTTTTTCGTCGACTGCGACCACTTCCAGTTTATTTGTAAATACTCCATTAGGTTAACCTCGCAAGTTATAATTTCCGTCTTTCCGATTCTTGCACCAACCTCTGCTTTGGTTGAATTGCATTTCCTCGGTAATTTATTGCCAAATGAAGCAATACTTAATCTCTCGTCTTCCACCCCACGAATGTGTAGCCAAATTAGTTGATATAAATGACAGCTGCGAGCCCAAATCAAATAATGCCAACGCTCTCGTTCGGAATTTCGGGATCTCTGGATTTGTGAGGCTAATTTTTCTACACAGAAATGAAATGCTTTTACCTTCTGGTCGTATTTGCTCAGCTGTGCTGTTCGTCACTGTTGGCTCCAACTTTTCTTCTCGCGGTTTTTCTGGTCTAGTATCTTTACGGTGGTTGGTACATAGTGCTGAATTATGTCTTCCTTTGCAATGAAAGCATAATTTCTTTAGTTTCCGGCAATCCTTTGCTATGTGGCCCTTTTGTAAGCAGTTCTATGTGGCCTTTTTGTAAGCAATTCGATTGTTTCCAAACGCTCCATTCGTTGCTTTGCTGTCTGGTAGACCTTACATTCGTCATCCCAATGATCCTCGTTGCAAAATGAACAAGGTTTTCGTATTTTACCACTTTCAGGATATTTCCTCTAGTTTGTGGTCTTTTAACTATCGTTTAGTTTGGACTGCTGATTACGGCCAAAGCAGACGTCTCTCCTCTAATACTGCGTGGGTCGTGATTCGACTTCGACTCGGTTGATTTTTACCCACTACTAGAGGCTTGGCTTCTCTTTTTTGGACTAGTTCTTGCAGGAATTTTCGGAGTCTAGCGGCCGACCAGAATTCCTGGTTCTTTTTTTGTTGGTAGACTTTGTCCAATATCCAAACTGGCAATCTATTTTCGATAATAATTTCAATGCTTGAATGCTCCAAACACTCACCCATTGCTTCTAGTTGTCGAAGTATTCTTTCCATAGTTTCGACAGTTGTTTTCCACTCTCGATCAGGTCCTTTGATGGATCATGTCCTCTGACATAACTCGTTTTACAGCAACTTTTTTATAGTAGATAAATTTCCAAACATTCCGACCAAAACTTTTCTTATAACATCGCAGTTTTCTGGAACAATATCATAGCCTTTGACAGCTTGTAGCGCTTTCCTTTGAGACATGAGATCAGATAATTCAATTTTTGAATATCGAGTATTTTTTGGAGATGCACTGCAGCATCAAAACTACCCCAGAATTTTCTCCATGATTTTGGGTCATCACTGAATATTGGTAGTGGTAACTGTGGCAAATTTACTGTCTGCTGAGACATTTGGGGGGAGGCTCCTTCTGTTGGAATGCTTCGATATTTATCTTGCTTTGCTGTAGGCACTGTATTGCTAACTCATACTCATCCTTGTACATATCTAAAGTTACAGTAGCTTTTTGACCGTTATTTATTAAATTTAAATTTAAAAGACCTTTATTATCGTGAACCATATCTGTGTATTTGTCTTCTTCCTTTCTTTTCTGCGCATTCCTTTGTTTCTGGATATATTCCAGCCACTTTTCGTTGATTGATCCGAGTATACCGACACAGAGTGTTAGACGCTTATTTTTTCTTCTATAGTCCTCTTCTTGAGTTCAAATTGTTGCTGCTTTTCATCCACCGACAAATGTTGATCAGGAGGCGTTAAGTTTATTGTTTTTACTTCGTCAAGAAGATCCTCCAACTTTTGTTTTGCCGGTTGAGCACTTTTGATTATAATGTCCTACATTCCCGGCTTGTGACACCAATTTTGTCGCCGGATTTCTTTGTTTCAAACTTCGGCAATTAAGCCTTTATTCCTCAAAACTCGGCAACACAGAAACGATTTCAACGATTATAATATCATTATGCGCAAAACGGGGGACCAAAAAACCAATAACGCCCGATACCGTCGACCTAACCGACCTGTTGCAATACTTCTCACGAAAATGAACTGGCGCTCAGGACCTCCTTCTTTTTTACTGCTGCAATTTCACGTTATGACTTTCAGAGTTTTCCCGACAATAATATTAAGGATATTTAAAAATGATCAAAATTGGCAAAAACCATATCATATACTATACCAAAATAGCCTGAAAATTGAGGATTTTTCGAAAATTCTCATAAATTCACAACACTTAAATAAAATTTTTTTATGCATTCGCTAGTGCGCATCGTGATCAGGGGATTTTTGATGGGAATGAAATTATCAAATTGGAAAAACACCTGCCAAAATTGGCAAAAACCCTAAATTTTCACGAAATTGGCCTAAAAATGTTTTTTTAAAAATATAGTGCTGTAAAGTTTTTAGTATCTTTGATTTCAGAACTAAATTTGAAAAAAAAAAGATTATGAAGTCTCGGGAACTTTTTTACTCTTTATTTGCTAAATCTTTCAAATCTGAACTCGAGAAGTAATTTGATGAAGGAATTGAATGAATCCTTCATATTTTCAGTATGTTTTCAATGAAATTTATAAATTTGGGGATAAATATTTCCCGTATATTTTACTGCTATCGTTTTTGAAGGCATATTGTTACCATTTATGCATGACAACTAAGTTTTCGACGACTTCAAATCAGTATTTTTGGAGTGGATGAAAAATACTAATAATCAACCGTAAATATTAAATCGAGATGATAGAATTTGGTGAATTAATTTCAGGATCACAACGATTGGATTCATCACTCTTATCGGTGTTTATTATTTGTTGGGAATAGATGACAATGGATGGATGACTACCATGAACCATGCCAATTAAGTATCCTTGTGGTTGATTTGAGTACTCACATCTCCTCGTAAATAGCTAAGATTTCTTCTGGACATTGAAAATAAATTGTCAGGTTTATTTAAATAAGTGATTATTCAACAAATGATTGGATAGAAATCAAGACGGTTAATGTTTGAGGATAAAATGGGGCAACAAGACTTTTAAGAGTAGAAGTTTAAAGACATTTTCCCGTTAGTTTTATACTACAGCAGACATAACAGGGAAGTCATCTTTTTTTGGTGTAATTTTTCGTGAAATTTTTTACTAAAGAAAGGAGAAGATGTAAAAGAATAGGAAGTTTTGATCTGATTTCGTTTCAGATCTCAAAAGCATTGGACGATACCATTATTACGCTTGCAAAATTCCCCTGAATTGTCACATACTGTTGACGAATATTTCAAGATACGACGATATGAATTTTTAGCAATTTACTGCAAAAATAATCAAATAATTAATAGAAGAATAATAGAATGCTTGTTTTATATTTTTAAAATTTTGCTTTCCTTTGTAATTTTAAAATTTTTCAAGGCAAATTTTGTGCTGTAGTCAAAACAAACGAATACTGTTTGTTTGTTTGTTTGTTTATACAATAAATCAATAGTTGGTTGTGAGTCTGTGTTATGACTGATCATACGATAGTGTTTTATATGCCCCTGGAAAATAAAATAAAGTTGTATTGAGAAATTGCTTGCTAATTACAATATAATTTTATTACATGACACTATCCTATATATTATATACTTTTTTTGATAACAAAACCGTTGTTTAAATGAATGTTGAAATTAATATATAAATAATCGAATTTAAATTATGCATTGAACAATACAACTATTTGTTGCAGGTTAATACATATGTCTTAAAGATTAGGTTTACGACTGGTAAAAAATGCTTATACTATATTTAGCCTATTTAAGGACTACGTTTATAACTAGTAAAAATGTTTATACTATATTTACACCTTGAAATATTTGAAAGATATTCAAATATTTTACATTATGTTTATACTTTGGCTGTTTACTTTGAAATATGTGAAAGAAATATAGTAATTGTAATTGTGATTAATTATTTACTACAGTTGCAGTAGTTTTGCTATTGAGAATTATTTAAGAATTTTGATTCTTTCAGCCCGTGTTGTTGTGGAATTCGAGCTACATGATTGGATTCTGGTACAACCTGTATTATTTATAATGACTCATTGGAAAGTTTCTCGAATCAAATACAAAGCAGTCAGATCATTCGAATGCGTGCAAAGGTGCATTTTTTTCAGTAATTTATTCATCTTTTCAATTAATTTCTTGCATTTTGTGCTTGACATTGTTTTTATCTTACTTTCATTTCCGAAATTTTTCTAATTCTTCATTTTTCCGTAATTCTCTTTTTACCACTTTTCAAAAAATGATGAAACTTCATGGCGCTTTATTTCATATTTTCATTTTCTGTTTAAATTTTTTGAATTAAATAATCTGATAACTGACATTATTGTTCAGTAAAATCTCGAAATTGATCATTTCCCCATAGTTATGCCATTGTAGACAGATATTGAATTATTAAATAGTGTCGTTGATATGTTTGATATGAATCAGCTGTCACTGAAAAATTTTGTGGTTATCGGTGCTTGTAATCTCAAAATCTTTTTATTCCGATCAGAGAAATGATGAATGGAGAGTTATTCGTCTAAATGACTGTTTTGCTGTCTTTCTTTTATTGGTCAGTTTGGCGACAGTTTTACTCCTGTATATCAGCTATCAGGAAAGTTTACTGTGACATCAGATTACGAAGATGAAACTGTTTTAAATTGATCTATGAAAGCGAGGTTATGAATTTGAATGATAACTTGAATTACATTTGAAATCTATCAGTCAGATCATTTATGATTTAAAATAACAGCATAGAAGAGTAGAGAAATGGTGATACTTTTGTTTCACATAAATTCATTACGCATGAGCAATGAGCAGTTGGAAAGTCCATCGGATGATAGCAGAATTTCAGATGGTCAACATATTGCTACAACATTGACATCAACGATAAACCCAAACGTAGCACAGGTCAACAAAAAAAAATAAATGAAATAATTAGAAATGCGAATGCTCATCGCTTGAATGAATTTGTTCTCAGTAGTTATAATGATATTACTGTACAGATAATTTTTGCTGATTGTTTTTAATGCTTGAAAACGACATTTGCATGTTCTTCATCTGGAAAAACGGACAAAGAGAGGAACGAAATCTTTGTATTATTCTTCTTCATCCCTTCTCTTATCAGAATTGTAAACTCGTCAACACAGTTAATTTTAATGGTACAAATATTTTGACTGTTAACGACAAATTATTTGGATTTTTTAGGCAACAGCTTTATTTATTGATGGTCGAAACAATGTGTTATTGCGTTATTGAAATACAACTTCATCACTGAGGTATTTCCGTTGATAACAAATCTTACGCAAAAAAATGAAAACTATCTAGTTTTAGATATATAACGTTTACTAGCAGCGTATTAATTGAATAATTGGAATGCGCATTAATTTTTTGCTACTTTTGGGAATATTCCATTTGTTGAAATTGTTGAATTAAAATCTATTCAGTCATAAAATTATGAAGTCAGAATTTGTCGACTTTATGTTATTCATTTAATCTTACACACTGTACGCATGCTGCTATTCATAGTTAAGTTGTTATAATCAAAATGCCTGAAAGAAAATATTTGCGCTTAATGCTAAATTCATTAACGAAACAATATATCGAGATGAAAAAATGGAAATGATAGCAATAAATTATTGGTGTGATATTTTACTGTTGTTAGATTTAAACGAATAAATATGATTACGTTATGATAAATTATTGGTTGACATATTTTTTCATTACAAATAACTAAATTGAATTACATAACTTTTGATTTGCTGTTGGCTAAGCATTTAACAATAATTCTTAAGTTTGTGATGAAAGAATTTTATTTATGAATAGTAATCATTAATGTTATACCTTACAATATTCTTATGGTGACAATTTTTGTCTAATCTTTGTCATAGTAATTAAAATTCAGACAAATAATTTCGTACTTTTTTAATGTTGCATATGAAAGAATTGAAATCGAAATGTTGCACAGTGTGGCAAAATTGTGATATTCACATTCATTTATATTACTCAATGCCAACATAAGTGTTATCCTGTAATTAATACATGGTAGTGGTGGACGTTACAATAGGTCAATTGTATCATTCAAATTTAGTGATTTATTTTGTAGATGTAACATGCTAAAACCTTTCCAATGTTTCTGTTGGTGAAATTAACACAGTTAACATTTTTCTAAATTTTAACTTTTAATAATATTAATGGATTCAATGCTAAGTTTAATGGGTCAGATATGCAAACGAATTTTGCAGATAGAAGAACAGTGGCAGATATACAGCAACATCCATATTCGACTTTACAATTTGACAAACATACAGGTAACTCTTCCTCTGTATTTGATTTACTTTTACACGTCATATATTCATTAATAATTAGATGCATTTTTAAACTAATTTTTGAATTACCAAATTATTATAAGGTTAACTTCCGACTTTACAATTTGAAAAATCATTTCGATGATGGCACATTTGACAATTACCCAATTAATGATATTAGAGTTTTTTACTTGTAAAAATGTCAACTTTTTATTATCCGTTACCTTAGATGAATGAAAGAATAAATGGATAAGTTGATGGACAGTGATGGGTAATTTAACGACAAATGCATTGGACCAGATTTTTTAAATAATATTCACAATCGAGATGATTAGTAATATTTCCAGAGGGAGAGAGAACGAGGAATTAAAGCTTGTTTCATTTTCTCGAAAAGTCCGGGACCAAATATCCTATTTATTTTGAAGAAATGATGAAAATTTCTTCTCTATTGTCATTGTTGCAATTAATCATTTGAAAATAAAAATTTCCAGCAAATCATTGTTTCGTCATTTGATAAAATGAATGGCTTAAAG